TGCTCCACTTCGTCAATATCCTTCCTAAGATGCTCCACTTCGTCAATATCCTTCCTAAGATGCTCCACTTTGTCAATATCCTTCCTAAGATGCTCTGCTTTGTCAATATCCTTCCTAAAATGCTCCGCTTTGTCAATATCCTTCTTAAGATGAGACTCCAAATGCCACCTGTTCAGGACCGAGAATAGCAAAGCTATACAAGTCAATGAGCATTTATTAAGCACCTACTATGTTCCAAGCACTGTGCTAATTGCTGGGGATACACAAAGAAAGGCAAACAACAGTCCCAGCTCTTAAGAAATGCAGAGTCTCTGGGGGCAGCTAGGTGGCACAGCGGATAGAGCACCGCCCTGAAGTCAGGAGGACGTAAGTTCAAATTCGGCCTCAGACCAAACCCTCAACACTTACTAGCTGTGTGACACTGGGCAAGTCACTTAACCCAATTGCCTTAAAAAAAAAAAAAAAGAAAGAAATGCAAAGTCTAACGGAGGACATAACAAGCAAACAATTATGTACAAACGAGACATAGACAGCATCAATTGGGGGTACTCTCAGAAGAAAGTCACTACAATTAAGGGGGATGCATTGCCCTGGCTCTGATCCTATTAACACAGCCAAAGTTAACTGCTAGAACACACTGCCGACTCACGTTGTAGTCCACTAACACCCCTACATCTTGTTGACGTGAACTGTTGCCTAGACACACATTTCCTGTCCTCTCCTTATACAGTCATGTTTTGGTTTGTTTTTTAATTCCTTAGTAGGCTTTTACATTTCTCTTTATTGAACTGAGTCCCCTTAGATTTAGCCTACTGTTCTAAACTGTTTTGATCTCTTTGGATTCCGATGGCATCATCAGATGTAATGATTACACCTCCTAGCTTTGTGCCATCTGCCACATTGATAAGCAAGCATCTCTTATCTCCACCTGAGTAACTGATAAAAAACATTGAATAGGCAGTGTCGATTATGTTTTGCTGAGCTGTTTGTTTGTTTGTTTTATTTCCTCTTTTTTTTTATTCTTTGTTACAAAAGCTCACTGTCTGAGCAGGGATGGAAAGATAAGAGAGATTTGGAGATGAAGCTGATATATACCATGCAAGCAAAAGATATTAATGAAATTTTTAAACTATATTGAACAGAACAAGGCCAAAGACAGATCCCTGGAGCATGCCATAGAAGGAGGTAGGATAAAGAAAACTAGAATTGGAATCAGAGGAACTGAGCTCTGGGCTTTGGTGTCATCTGTAAAATGAGAGCGTTAGATCTAATAACTTCTAAGGTCCCTCCTACCTCAAAATCTATCATCCTGGATACTTCTTCTCCAGGTCCATTAATCATTGTGTTACAAGATACTGGATTGGGTATACACTGGCAATGCCATCCAGTTGTGGTTAATTTCCCCTTTCTTACTTCTAAAAGAACCAAAAGTCATGGCAAGCTCTTCCCCCCCCCCCACCCCTTCCATGCAAACCCCTCTGTCTGGCATTAAAAGCTCACAACAATCGGACCTCTATTTCATACCAATTCTCCCTTTATTTAGGGAACTCATCAGTTCAGGCCCACAGATGATTGGATGGCCACTTGTTGGGGCTGTTGTAGGAGGGAATCTCACAGGTACAGATTGGACTAGATGGCCTAGAGACCCCTTCTATCTCTGAGATTGTGGGATTCTAAGTGGAAAAGGGAAGGAGGCAAAAACCTCCTTTTAACTAAAAAGCTAAGAGCTTCCATATACTTCCCAATTTGGTTCCCTACAACCCCAGATCAGGACTCAGTTCAAGATAAGAGCAGACTGATGAAGTCTGGTCCCATAGGCAACAGCTGCTCACTCTTGAGTGAATGCCCCACTACCCACCTGACAAGAGAACCAGCCTTCTGCTGTACAAAGACGCTCTCTCACTTTGTCTCTCCTGTCAAAGTAGCTGCCATTGTAGCGCTCCGATTTCAGTTTCTCACACATTTGGCCAATGATTTTCAGATATTCTGCTCGAGGCTGGGGATCGAGGGTGGAGGCATGAGCATTCACCTATAAGAAGACAGAAAGGAAGCCCAGAGGATCAATCATACAAGACACGACACAGATCTTTTGCTTCCATCTGACGAATGGTATAATAGAACACGTTTTTCAGGTGGGTCTGTTGAAGTGTTCCAGCTTTCAACTGATCAATAAACATTTATTAGCCATAAGGTAAGAGGTGTCTGGGGCATAGGAATAAAGAGTTGGCTTCATCGTGAGAAGACCTGGTTTCAAGTCCTGCCTATGACAGACACATGGTGGCTATGTGACCCTGGGCAAGTTGGCCTAAGCAACTCTCTAAGCCTATAAAGCTACATAGAAGATACACTAGTAAAAGGAATTTCCTCACTGGGAATTTCTGACATCAGTGAAATGACAGACCTAGTCCAATTTTTTTTTAAATGCCAGGCTGAAGTTTCAAGGATACAACATAGTCACCAATTAGGTAAATAGATGCAAAATAAATTCACAGCAAATTGGCATGGGGCATTAACTGGGTCGGGAGGGAGGGTGGTAGAGAGATCATCAGGAAAGCTTCTCAAAGAAGGTGGCATATGAAATGAACCTAGAAGGGACTAGAGGGTACAAGAGGTATAGGTGATGCAGGAATATAATTTGAGTATGGAGATTGGAAATGTAATGTCATATATTGTTCAGTCACGTCTTACTCTTCATGACCCCATTTGGGGTTTTCTTGTCAGTGATACTGGAGCGGTTGGCCATTTCCTTCTTCAGCTCATTTGACAGGTGAGGAAACTAAGGCAAACAAGGCTAAGTGACTTGCCCAAGGTCACACCACTCGTAAGTGTCTGAGGCTGGATTTGATCTCAGGAAGATGAGTCTTCCTTACTCCAGTGCTCTGACACTGCGTCACCTAGCTGTCCCAAATGTCATTTATAGAAAAAAGCAATAGTATAGCACTAAGTGTAGGAGGAAGAGAAATATATAATCAGCCTAGAAAGAAAGGGAAAGGTCCACTTTTAAATACCAAACAGAAGTTTTGTTTTATCTGGATGCAGTTTTAGCCTGTAGCTTGTTGAGCAGTGGGACAATATGGTCAGACATGTCCTTTGGGAGTAGTTTGGACGCTGAATTGGAGAGGGGAAAGAATGGATGCAAAGAGACCCATCTGGAGGCTCTTCCACGAGTCTAGGCCAGAGGCAATGATGAATTAGGATGTTTGTGGTATAAGTGAGAAGGAGACAAATGCAGGAGACAAGAGGACATAGAATTGCAAAGACTACGCTTTCAAAAATAAAAATGAGAATAAAGCCCAGCACCCTCACTTGCATCTGTATTTACTGGGGCATCTACCCAGGCTTATTGGCAAGTCCTGTATCCATGGAAGCATTACACTGCTTTCCTATTAGGTTAAGTCCAAGCAAGGCATGTACACATCATCAACCTGAGAGCCCCTTGAGAGTTCATGTTTTCATCGACAGATGATTTGATTGGGCTTGACCCAGAGGAAAGGGAGGACATGCCTGCAGCTGTCCTATGCACTTGTTATGTACCAGGAAGTGTATTCTTCAATGCTACAGAAGAACACAGATGTTATGTTCAGCCAGGGCAGAATGGGTGGGAAGAGGAGGGAAGAGAAAACGGAGCTTCCGGCTCCTTGGAAACAATAGCACCAGCTGTCATCTTACAGGTCGGAAAAAGCAGAGCCCTGGGAGCATCCTTCCACCAGTGAAAATGATGCAGAATGTGTTCAGACCCTTAACAAGGCCTGAGTACAAGGAATCCTTCCTTGAGAATGCCTTGAAAATGGACCCACTACTTTGCCCTCACTTTTTTTAAAGCCTGAAGGAAATTCTAGAGCATTTGTGACCTTAGCTATGAGTTAAGTGGGATAAGGAACAAGACCTTTCTAGCCCTCATCTTCCTCATCTGTAAAATGAGAGGGTTGGACTAAATGACCTCTCAGGTCCCTTCCAGCTTTAAAGCCATGATTTTATGATCATACTTTTTAATAGCAAAGTATAAGATCTCAAGAGAGGCAGTGAGGTGGTCCAGTGGATAGGATACTGGCCCTGGGTGAGTCACTTAACCCTAATTGCCCTTCCCCCCCCCCCAAAAAAAAGATCTCAAGAATAATAATAGTAAATAATAATAGTTAGCATTTATATAGCACTTTTAAGATTTATAAAGTACTCACAACAACCCTAGGAGGTAGGTGCCTGTTATTAATCCCATTTTACAAGATAAGGAAACTGAGGCACAGAGAAGTTAAGTAATTTGCCAGGTTCACACAGCTATTAAGTATCTGATGCAGAGGCTGAACTCGGGTCTTCCTGAGTTCCAACTGTCTACCCACTGAACCACCTAAGCTGCCTCAAAAATAACAGAAAAATATAAGATCTCGACAACTAAATGGTTCTACAGAAATCTGGGTTCAAATCCCAGTTTTGCTACTTAACTGGCAGAGCTATCTGTGTGACTTTGGGCAAATCACTTCACCTGCTATGCCTCAGTTTCCTTATTTATAAAAGGAAGAAGTTATACTAGATCTCTGGTGACCCTTCTAGCTCCAAGTCCACGATCCTATGAGTCTTTTATTCATAGGGAAGTTCTAAAAACTCAACATTTATAGCTTTAAAATTAAATGGAATCTTACAGGTCTTACATATCTTAGATATATATTAGAGGTTTCATATATATATATATAGTGGGATTAAATATATATATATATGAGGAAACTGAGACAGAGTGGGATTAAGTGACTTGCCCAGGGTCACACAGACAGTAAGTATCTTAGGCAGGATTTGAATTCAGGTCTTCCTGATACCCCAACCCCCCAGCACTCCCTCCACTGATCATAGATGGCACAGCTTCAAGATGGAATCTAGTCTAAGCTCTAATTTTATAGATGATGAAACTGAGGCCCAGGGAGGTTAGGTGATTCACCCAAGGCCAAGGAGGTAACAAGAGTCAGAGGCAAGATTTGATCCCAGGTCTTCTGGCTTTGGAGGCAGTATTCCTACCACTATACCCTACTGAGATTCTGAAACAATGGCGGGCAAGAATTCTTCCTCATTATCTTCAAAGCTGCAACAGAAGACTCAGCTGAGCACCTGGCCAAAAGCAGAACCCAGGACCATGGGAAGCAATCCCACAGGAGTCTCCTGGATTGGAATCTTTCCCATACTGTCCATCTCACAACACAGTAGTGATCTAGACAGTCAACAGACCTGGCTTTGAACAGACACTCACCTCTTTCAGATAACTCCGTATGCGGCTCTCACAGCTATACCTCAAATAGCTAGACTTATTCCTAAACCGAGACTCCAAACCTGGAAGGAAAGAGAGGATACTAACATGGAGCACACCAATGGGACAGAAAAGGTTTTCCTAATGGCAAAGGATGAGGATGCCCAACAGCACCCTACCGGGTATTCAGATTCATGGACCTGCTCTCTTGACCAAAATGTTTATCCTCATGGGCTTTTCTTAGCCAAGGCTTCTAAGGTCCCATCCTGAAAAACTGCCTGAATTTTGAGAAATAAGATTATAGGATCATAAATTTACAGCTAGAAAGGACCTTAGAGGCCATGTAGGTCAACCCCTTTATTTTTCAGATGAGGAAACTGAGGCCTGGAGGGAGCTAGGTGAAACAGTGCACAGAGAACCAGGCCTGAAGTCAGGAAGACCTGAGTTTAAAGCTGTGTGACCCCAGGCAAATCACTTAGACTCAATCTCAGTTTCCCCATCTGTAAAATGAGGAAAATAATAGCACCTACCTCCTAGGGTTGTTGTCAGGATCAATTTAGGTATTATTTGTAAAGTGATCAGCATGGTACCTGACACATAGTAAGACTATATATATATATATATTTAATACATTATATATAATATATAATAATATATTATATATGTATATATACATATACACAAGCTATTATTATAAAAAATATACCATATTATTTTTTTATATTATTAGCTATATAAGCTATTATTACATATATTATGTAATAATATAATAATATAAACATATTATTATTAGACACCAGGTGGTAACAGAGACAAGATTTGAACCCAGATCCTCTGGCTCAAAAGTGAGCTTCATAACAATACAGAATTCCTTACAGTTAGCTTAGTAGCAGAGAATGCAATTCTTAAAAGAACATCATGATAGGTCTCTCGTCCATCAGCACACACAAAGATACCACCACCCACAAAAACTTTCGGCTCTTAGGAAGCAAGAGAATTAGGTCCTCCACCTGCCAGTTCAGATATTCAGGTCTACACGCTCATTTTCCCAGTAACAGCATCATTCAGGTGACACATACACATTTATACAAGCAGGCTAGCACAGCGGAAAGAATGCTGACTCTCGGGTCAAATGCTTCCCCTTACATCTACTAGCTGTGTGACTGTGGCCAAGTCACTGGATGTTCCCGAGCCTCAGTTTGCTCATATATAAAAGAAAGAGTGTTGGATTAAAGTATCTGGAAAGTCCCTTTCAGCTCTAAGTCAATGATCCTATCACCCCTTTGGGTGACACCTAGGACTAATCCGAGAAATAAACAAGTGTGGCCACCTGCATTGGGAAAGAAGTTTCCTATGCTGATGAAGTATGAAATCCGAGATCCCATCATATATTTTAATCACAGGATCACAGGTTTGGAGATGGAAGGCTAAATAGTCCTACCCCCTCATTTTACAGATGAGCAAAGCAAACCTCAAAAAAGTTAAATGACTTGTCCAAGGTCACCCAGGTAGAAAGTAGCCATCAGGAGATTTGAATCTTCTGACTCCAGATCGATTACTCCTGCCATTGTCCCACACTGCCTCTTAACTTCATGTTTTCATATCAATCATTTTATCTGAAAGCCAACCAGGATAAGAAGTAGGACTTCTATGAGGTCTCCAAGTAATCCAACAAGTTCAATTATTGTGGACATAAAGTTCTCAGCTCAATTCAGAAGGGGAGCCTAAACGAGCCTCAGAGAAGTGTGCTCATTGGTTCTGACCTCAGAGGGCCTGAGAGGGCATCAAGTACAACCCCCTTCTTTTACACATGAGGAACTGAGTGAGATAAATTGATTTGCCCAAGGTCACACAGCTAGTAAGTGGCAGATCTGAGATCTGAAAGCAGGCCTCTTAACTCCAAATCCAGCACCCTTTTCCTTGAACCCCGTGTATATACACTGATGTCTCCTTGGTCCAGTTTGCTTGGATAACTGAGCCAGAACTCAACTTCCTGGCTCAGGGGAGCACCTTCTACCCCCACATCTCGAGACAGCTAATAAACCAGCCCTCTGAGGGAACAATAACCCAGAACATGCCTTCAAACCACGGCCCATCCTCCTCTCGGGTTTCTGCCTGGATGTTTTCGCTAATGTTGTGAAGGAAGTCCGCAAGAAGTTTCTGCCTCAAGGGAGCTCGCTCATCAGAGAGCAGTTTCTGAGCTGCTTGAATGATGTCCGCCTGTGGCTGGTAGAATATGGTGAGGAAGCGATGGATGTCGCTGATATCTGCCGCCAAGAAGGGAAAACAAACAGTGTGCATGGAGCACTTTGTAAAGTTACTTCTTCCAGACCTCACCATGAAGGCCACAGTGAGATCCAAAAAGGCTTTCAGGACTTTAATTCAAGACATAAGAGCTATCATTTTAGAACTCCAGATTCCCATAGTAACTCAGCTCACATTTAGAGGAGAGGAAAGTAATTTTCTTCATTATATTCTCATCCCGAAATTAACTACAGTTTCTCATCCACCCAACTGAGCTACTTTGAGAGGTACAATATGGAAAAAGCTAACTCTGGTACATGACAGGAACCATTAGCTTTTATTGCTGCTTTCATGAGATGCAATACTTCCTTTACATCCTCCATCCCAAAGTCCTTCAAGTGCTTGTTTTACAAATAATTAAGCCTCCCAAACTACTGAGAGGTAGGAATTATTAGTCCCATTTAATTCAAATGGTGCATTCTCATTTCCATTCTAGCCACTACTTCATGGGGAAGTGGGTTTTGTCCTGAGAAGAGCAGAGGACAGTCTTGGCTTTCAGGACCTTACTTTGTCTAGGTGGAAAGAAGCAAGTCTTGCCTTCAAGGGGCCTCCTCACCTAGATGAAGCCAAAAGCCTGTTAATTGGACTTTGAACCCTCTAAACAAAACCAGAGCAGACCTGAGTGAACTGATCCAGAGTGCAGAAATAAAAGAATGATACAATAACAATGAATAAAAATCATACCAAAAGGCAGTCACAGACTCTGATTGACTCTAAGGACCAATCACAGGGTCAAAGAACAAGTGATGAATCACACATTCCTCCTCTCGGTGAAGGAGTAGGGGAGAGGAAATGGATGTGCTCTCAGACATGCTCATGCTGCTGGCTGGTCACAGAGTCATAGAATTACAGCCTTTAAAAGGACCTTCAGTGGCCATCTAGTCCAACCCCCTCATTTGACAGATGGAGAAACTGAGGCCTAGGGAGTTTAAGAGATTTGTCCAAGGTCACACAGGTAGTAAGGACCAAAGGTAAGATTTGAACCCAGGTTCTCTGACTTCTGAAGCAAGACTCCTTCTCCTGCACCATGATAGTTTGGCTCAACTATTTTTATTGTTAAAAATTGTTATTGTTATTTGGCCTTTGTTTTCGAAGAGAACCGTTAAAAGTGATGATTCGGTGGCAGGAAGGCATATCAAGAAATGCCTTGAGGTAAAAACAAAAGACATCGGTAAAACTTAAAATAGAATTTGAATTTAAAAAAAAAACCCTACAATGCTAGAAATAAAAAAGACATGCATTATATAAGACTATGCAACACAAATTCCCAACAGGCAGAGGCACATGCTGGGTCCATGCTTCTGAACACACTTGTGGATGAAATCACGGAATAATAACTAGCTAGCATTTACATGCGGCAGCTAGGTGGCATAGTGGATAGAGTACCAGGCCAGGAGTCAGGAAGACCTGAGTTCAAATCCGGCCTCAAACATTACTAGCTATGTGACCCTGGGCAAGTCACTTAACCCCGTTTGCCTCAGTTTCCTCATCTCTAAAATGAGCTGGAGAAGGAAATGGCAAACCACTCCAGTATCTTTGCCAAGAAAACATCAAATGGGGTCACGAAGAGTTGGACATGACTAAAAAACAACTCGACAACAAAGCATTTACATAAACAATGCTTTAAGGTTTGCAAAGCACCTAACAAATGATATTTCATTTATCTTCACAACCCTAGGAGATAAGTGCTATTATTATCCCCATTTTATAGATGAAATTAGAAGGGACCACAAGAGTCCCACACCCCCTGCTTCTGGGCATGACCAACTCTACTGATACAATACCAAGGTTTCTTTCCCACTTTTAGAACTTGGCAGAAAAGAGGCTACACCAAGTAATACGTCCCAACCTCCTGACACCTGTCATCTTCCTTAGTCCTAATCAAAATCTGTCCTGGTTTAATATTATTCAACAACCATGTAGTAAAAGACTGCTCCGCGCCAGGCACTACACTAAGCAGTCAGGCAGTTAATAAATATTTAAGTGACAGCGATGTGTGCCAGGTATGAGAAGATAGAAAGACAGCAATGAATAACAGTCCCTGCCCTCAGAGAACTTCTAATCCTACATCGCCAAGTTAAATCTGTTTTCATCAGTGGAGATGGGTAATCATCTCCAGGACCATGGTCATATGTAAAGAGCTCTGGGTTGAGAATCAAGACAATGGGGTTCTTGAGAGACAGCATTCATCTGGATCCAGAATACCTGAGTGCAAATTCTCATGCTCTGCTATTAATTCACCTACAAAATGAAGGGGTTGGACCGACACAAGATTTAAACATCCCTTCAGGTTCTAAATCCATGGTCCTTAGCAATTCAACTCAACAAGCATCAAAATAAGGTCCCACTATAATGCATTGTGCTGGGCATACAAAGAGAAGAAAAGGAAAAAGTCCTTTCCCTCAAGGAAGTTATATCTTTTTGACGTATAGAATACCTTCTTTTGACATATTTTGTTGCTGTTCAGTTGTTTCAGTCATGTTCGACTCTTTATGACCCCATTTGGGGTTTTCTTGGGCAAAGATCCCAGAGTGGTTTGCCTTTTCCTCCTCCAGCTCAATTGACAGATGAGGAAACTGAGGCAAATAGGATTAAATGACTTGTTCAGGGTCACTCATGTAGTAAGTGTCTGAGGATGGATTTGACCTCAGGAAGACGAACCCTCCAAATTCTAGGGTGGGCACTCAATCTACTGCTTCCACCTGGATGTATGTGTGTGTGTGTGTGTGTATGTATACATATACAGTACATGCACACACATACATATATATGTTCGTGTATGTATATGTGTATGGTGTATATGTATATGTGTGCATATATATAAAATTCCTTCTCTTAGTACCAGTTGCCTCCTCTATAAAATCACTAGATGTTCTCTAAGGTTGGGGTTGGACTACATCAGTAATTCTTAGCCTGTGGTCCTTGAATGTTTCATTTTCAATATTTTGATAGCAGTATTTCAATGTAATTGGTTTCCTTTGTATCAGTGTATTTTATTCTATGCATTGAAGAATATTACTCTGAAAAGGAGTCTATTGGTTGGCGAAGGCTGCCAACAGTTTCCAACCCTAGACTAGATGGTCTTGAAGGTGCTAGCTGGCTCTAAAGCCCCTGACCATGGTCCTAACTCTGCACCTATGTAACCTTGGATATGCTGAAAAAACAAATGAGCATTTTATGAAGTGCCTGTTACGTACCAGGCACACTACGCTAGGTGCTGGAGAGAGAACAGAAATGAGACAACCTTTGCCCTCAACACTTCTTTATCTCTCACAGGAAGATAATAATGCCTGCCCTTTATACCATACAAGGTCCTGGTGACAGTTAAATGAGACAAGATGAAATGTGCTTTGAGAAAGGACCTGTGGTCCTTCAAGGCAGTTAGGTGGCACCATAGTGCATACAGTGCTGGGTCTTTGGTTAGGAAGGCTCAAGTTCAAATTTAGCTGTGTGACTTTGAGCAAATCATTTAATCTCTGTTTGCCTCAGTTTCTTTAACTGCAAAATGGGGATTATAACATCACCTACCTCCCAGGACATGTGCTTAGCACAATGCCTGGCACATAATAGGTACAATTACTATTCAGTAAAAGCAACATTCATTCTAGCCCACCTAAATGAATCCAGTGTTTTCCCTTGCTAGGCACAAATCAACCCAAGTCATTTTGCCTCTTCCTTGAGAGTCTGAATACCCAGACCCTCTCACCTCTTTCACAGGTCTCTTGTTGAACTATTTTTAAACTTAGTGCTTAATAATTTTTAAGGATAACAATAACTCTGCCAAAGAAAGAAGGACCACAGCCTCAAAGGAAACAAAGGGGCCTACCGCGGATAGACATCTCTGCAGCTCCCAACAGCTTTTACCACGTCAGGAATGGAGGGGGCCAGAGCAGCGTCCCAGCCCTTGGATGCCCTCACGGTGTGACATCACAGTCATTCCATTGTCTGGCAGCCTGCTCTAGAAGAGCAAGCAGAAGCCCCGACGTGGGGCTCACATCCTGCCCCTCAAGCTGGCTGACCCTAAGACACTTGCCCCTCACGCTGGCTGACCCTAGGACACTTAACAAATGATGCCTCCCATGAGATGCAGACACACGTAAGGTACTTTATAGCTCCTTTCTTGACCCACCCCCTCTCCTTCTCTCTCCTCCTTCTCATCTTCTAGTAAAGAAGTCCTCTCATGCCCCATGGAGCAAACAGCTCTTTTCCTGATGGAGATCATGGTCCAGAGAATCAGAAGATTCAATATCATTGACTAAGAACCATAAGGGACCTCCGATCGTTGAGTCCAACTACTTTGTTTTATAAAAGAACAAACCGAGGCCTAGAGAATGGGTCACACAAGTAGTTAAGAGTGAGAATCAGGATTTGAATTCAGATCCTTTCCACTGGGATGAAATCCTGGTTCTGTCATTTTACTGTGTAATCTCAGCTTCTAAAATGATGGGATTGGATGAGATGACCCCTAAGGTCCCTTCTACCTATAGCTGCAGCTCTATGATCCAATTACTTTTAGGATACATCAGTAAAAGCCTCATTAAACATAATTCTCCTTTATGCAAAGGGCCACACAACTGAAATTCAAGAGAAGAAAAATGGCATTTTCTTTCAAAGGACAGTACTCATTAACAGTGATCAGATGGGAAACAGAGGGGCAGCTAGGTGGTGCAGTGGATAGAGCACCGGCCCTGAAGTCAGGAGGACCCAAGTTCAAATCTGGCCTCAGACCAAACACTCAATACTTACTAGCTGTGTGACCCTGGGCAAGTCACTTAACCCCAATTGCAAAAAAAGAAAAAAAAGATGGGAAGCAGAAAAATGTATTGGTCCTTCAACTGAGATAATAGCCAACAGTTCATAGAGCCATCAATTTAGACCTAAAAGGCACCTGAAACACCATTTAGTTCAACTCCCTCATTTTATGGATAAAGAAACAGACCTAGAGGTGAAGCGACTTTCCCAAGTTACAGAAAGAGGAAGGGCTAGGATGTGAACCCAGGCCCTCAAATGATGAATCTTGCACTCTCTCCATTATACCTAGCTCCCTCAATTATATAGCAGTTTAGGATTTACAGAACATATATCCATTATTTCATTTAAGACCCGCCGGGCTTGGAATCAGGAAGATTCATATCTTCATGACTTCAAATCCAGCCTCACACACCTACTAGCTGTGTGACCCTGGACAAGTCACTTCACCCCGTCTGCCTCTGTTTCCTCACTGTAAAAAAAATAAAATAAAATGAAATGAAATGGAGGAGGAAATGGCAAACTGCTCTAGTTAGTATCTTTGCCAAAAAACAAAAAAAGAGGGCACAAAGAGTCAGACACAACTGAAACAACTGAACAACCGAGCAAGAGCAGGTGTTGTTACCCTTCATTTATAGGTGAGGAACCAGGCCTTGAAAGGTTAAGTACCTTGCCCAGGATCCCACTGAAAGTGCTAGAAAAAGATTCAAAAGCAAGTGTCCTCCTCCTACAAGTTCAGCATTCTATCCCTACACCAACGGCCTCTGCTGTGAGGTTATGATTATTGGTGGGTGGTCTTTGATCCCTGCCATAGTAGACAGACAGATGGATTACAGATGAACAGATAAGTGGATAAATGAATGGACAGATAGATAAAGGGATGGATAGGTGAGAGATGGGTAGATAGATAAATGGATAGATAGGAGAAAGGCAGATGGATAAATGGATATATATTTGGATGAATGGATAGAGATAGATGGAGTGTGTAAACGGAAAAGATAGAAAAGATATATAGATTAGAGAAATCTGATCATAGGTAAATATAAAACCTGCTGCTTTGCCAGAATAACTATTTAATATTTATTTTTGTAAAATTTATATATCCTAATCATTGTCACACAGCTTATTAGAGATCCAGGAGCCAGCTGATGGCTCCTTTAAATTTTGAAAAAATTCATTCGCAAAATTTATGTATTGCATATTTTATGACTTCTTAGAGACAAAAAAGTGATCATTGCAAATAGTAAAAACTCTGCAGGGAAATATCCTACTGATTCCATGTTTTTAAAAATCCTAGCTTGGGACTTGGCAGAAACACCAATTGAGTAAATGTTATTTTAAAAAATTTTTTGCATTATTTTGTTCTGTGTCATCTGTGAAATTGGACTTAGTAAGGCGTTAATCTGTGGAGGAGGGGGAGCCCTATTCTGAATCTACTACTTTAGCTATTATTCTAAAGCATGACTACTTTAGTCATCTATAGAAAGATGAATAGATGGATGGATGAGTGGAAAGATGGATAGATTTTGTTGTTCAATCGTGTCCAATTTGTGACCCCAGTTGGGATTTTCTTGATAAAGCTACTGGAGTGATTTGACATTTCCTTCTCCAGCTCATTTTATAGATGTGGAAACTTGAGGCAAACAAGGTGAAGTGAGTTGCCCGTGGTCACACAGCTAGTAAGTGTCTGAGGCCAGATTTGAATTTAGGTCTTCCTGACTCCCAGCCCAGAACTCTATCCACTGTACCACATAGCTGCCCATAGATAGATAGACAATCCTTTCTTAGGAAGGAAGGAAGGAAGGAAGGAAGGAAAGAAAGAAGGAAGGAAGGAAGAAAGGAAGGAAGGAAGGTAGGAAGGAAGGAAGGAAGGAAGGAAGGAAGGAAGGAAGGAAGGAAGGAA